GTTATTAAAATTTACTCATTAATTAATTATTCATCTGACCTAATTATTAAACAATAATAATAAATAGGGACATATGAATTTATTATTGACTTTTATAGCTTATATGAAAATTTCCCATATTAAAATCATTCATCAATAATTCCTTCAATTTATGCAAATTTTGCTAAAATCAGTTTAAAGTTTTATTAATAATTATTGTAATAATATTTCAGATAGTAAAATTTGAAAAAAAAAATGCTAATTTTGCATTTTATTTTAACAACCTTTAACATTTTCATATTAATTGTTAAATAAAAATTTTGAAAAAAACAAAAAACTTAACAAAAAAAAAGACAAATAAAATTTGAAAATGATATGAGCTATTCATATAATCGTCATTTTGTAAATTTATCTTCATTAAAATTTTACAAAAATCGAAACTTTTTTTCACTTACTTTCCCTCTTCTCTCTCTCTCTCTCTCTCTTTCTTCTTCCTTTCCTTTCCTTTTTCCAATGAAAAATGCATATGTTCGAATAATTTTTCACTTCATGAAATTAATTAAGTAGAAATATTATCTTGTCTTGCTACCGGATGACATATTAATATATGCTAAACATTGAAGCGGTTTGTTGTTTAGCTGAACGGATTTCATTTGTGCTATTATACGGATCAGGTAAAAAGGTCCGTAAAATGGTCAGAGAAATCGATTGATCTTAATAATAATTTCCTTTTTTTTTCCTAAAATTTTCTTTTTTTTTCGTTTTTGTCTGAAGTGATTAATACGTGTTAATTTTCTTTTTTTTTTTTTTTAGAATTTTTGGTTAAATTTGAAAATTTTCAATTTTTAGCTTTGAATGAAATTTAAATCGAATTTCATTTCTAAGATTTCCTTCTTTTTTTTTCTTTCTTTCTTTTGTTTCATTCAGTTTCATTCATTTTCCACTCAAACAAAATCCAATCATTGACGATAGATTGTATCAAATGGATGATTTGTTCCTGAAATTTCAAATAAATTTGAAAATTGCCGCATCTTATCAAATAGCGACAGCTTGATAGCGTAGATAAATTAAATTGGGTGATTTAACAAATAATCGCTACCAATCTTTAAAATTTGTCTAAAACATTTCAATCTTATTGAACAAATTCACCAGCCATTTATCAGCATATTGTTGTCTGGTAATCCTAACAAATTTTGTTAGTAAAAGAAAAATTAATTGAAATTTATCTTTTTTTAATTTAATTAATCGCTCTTAAATTCGCTCCCTTTTTTTCCCTTCCCTAAATTTGATTGGATTTAATTGTATTCATTTTTTCTAAATTTAACAAACTTCGATATTATTTATTATAAATACAAGTATAGTTAAATGTTCACTTCATATGAAACAAACTTTTTTATCCATCTATAGCAAATAGAATTAAGGATTTTGTTTAAAGTTCAGTTTTTGGAATTGTTTATTGTTTATAAAAATTTTTCGAATTAAATTTCAATTTTTGAATTGTCTATTGTTTATTAAAATTTTTCGAATTAAATTTTAGTTTTCAAATTCTTTATTGTTTGCAAAAACCTTCCGAATTAAATTTCACTTTTTAAATTCTTTATTGTTTACAAAAATTTTTTCGAATTAAATTTCAATTTTTGAATTGTTTATTGTTCATAAAAATTTTAGCACTATTAGCTATTATTCCGGCAAAAAAACATTTTTGGAACATTTTATTAAAATAATTCTGATGGATTTTTTAATCATGTATTGATAAATTATCAATAAAAACTTTCCCAATCAATAAGTACGAAATTCAATTTTTTTTTTGTTTTTCAACAAAAACCATTCAAAGCATTTTTTTTTCTTATTTATGTGTGCTTTAAACTATTCAATATCTTCCACTTAAATTTAAAATTGAATTTTATTTTTTTTTCTGTTTTTTTTTTTTGTTTTGGAAATTCTAAATGATACCATTTCTACAAAATACATCTTTTCCGCCTTATTGTTATTTTTGTTGAAGAAATGTTGAATATGGAAAATACGATATTACAATTACAACTAATTATGCTATCAATGTATTTCTTAATTTTTTAAAATTGTTCTTAATTTCATCAAATTAGCATTGATCATAATTATACCTGTATATCATAATCTTACATAATATTAAATCAATTTCGTATATGAGAATATTAATTTTCAATATTAATTTCATATTAATTTCTTTCTTAATATCAGTAATAATTATGACCAAAAAAAAAAAAGAAGGAGAAAAAATAAGAAGCATGCCAATAGTTTTTACTAAGTTAATAAATATCCTATCCAATTAAAAAAAAAAAGTGATCGTTTTGTTGCATTGTACCAACCAAAACTTTAATTTCAAATTACCAATAAACTTTAATTTCAGACTTTAAACTTTAATTCAGAACTGTCAACAAGCTTTAATTTCAAACTGTCAACGAATTTTAATTTCATTATTTTACAAGGCTTAAAGTAAAAATATCTTTTGAATGATTGTCACCAATGATTGTCATCTTAAATCAACCGAACAAATTCTACTCCCAAAAACAAAAATTGTTGAAACTATTTTTGTACAAATTTATTTTACTCTTAATGTTCCATACTAAAATTGCAATTATTAGCACTATGCTGCCAGAAGTTATAATACTTTAAGCCTATTTTCTATCAAATATCATTTCTACAAATACTAATTTTTCTAATTTTTTAATTTTTTTTTAAAATTTATTTTTAAAGATTAATTTTTCATCTTTTAAAGTAACTAATTGCTAGACTTATTTTTCTCATCTTTAAACATAACAAACTATCGATATTTAACCTAAATTTTCCCTTATCATATATCATATCACTGTTAAAATATAAGAATGAATGCCTAAGGTGAATTGATAAGATATTATGAAATATCTGATTACTTTTTTAATAACTCATAATGTATCTTTCAATGTTCCTTTATCATATATACATATCACTGTTAAAATATAAAATGAATGTCTAAGGTGAATTGATAAGATATTATGAAATATCTGATTACTTTTTTAATAACTC